GATCGCAGGCAAGTTTTCAATGTCTTTATAACTCGGTTTTCTCCTTAGTGGAATAAAATGGTAGCTTCCCTAGTAAGGAAGAAGCAAGTTGATGAATAGAAAGCCTGTGAAAAGATCCCTTGCACATAGCAAACACTTAACAAAAGCCAGCTTTCATTGCTATTAATATCATTATTATACTCTCCCAGCAATATTAGGGATTATCAAGGATTTGCTCCTGGTTGTTAAGTAGAAATTTTGCTTTGGGGCTTGTATACTTTGCCATCTTCCAAAAGCCCCTGCATGACGGGGACCATGCCATAACTGATTTATGCATTCTATGTTGCCTAGGATGGGTCTCTGAATTAAGTGAGTCCTCAACAAAGAACTCTTGAGTCAGACTCACCTGCACCTCTTCTAACAACTAGCATGCAGGAATGGCCCCTCCATCAGGTTCAAGAAAGCCCAACTTTCTGATTGGCAAGACTAAATAATTCAGTTTTAAAAGTTGCCCAGAATGCATAGGACCTGCCGTCATCCCTAAATGGGATACTTACATCAAGTCTTCCCCTCCAAGCTTAGGGATCGATGCAGATTAGGGGGCAGAAAGATTGTAAGAGCCAGAGGTGGGAAACTCCAGGAAACAGCATCTTTGAGACACACCAGGGTTGATACGTATATGTGCTAGGAGAGATTGTGACAGTATGCACAAGACCTACACAAATTCAAGCCAGACAAAAGCCTAGCAGGGAGAAGGAACCATGAGAATCAAGTCCTATCCCAAGCAAGAAGCAATCTGTTACTGAGAGCTGCTGGGAGAGAGAAAATCCATTTCCCCAGTAGAGTGACACCAAGCAAATCAACCATATTCCAGGTCAGGCCTCATGCTCAGAAGTAGTTGACTGCAAAACTGACTCCATGTTTTGTTCTGTTCTGTTAATGTGTATGTAGTTTATTTTGTTGTGGTTTGAGTTTTTTGTGTCTCTTCAGTTTAGTTTTGTTTTGTTTTGTTTCATTTGAGGGAGGTTTGTTTTTGGAAGGGGAAGAAAGAACATGAAGTTGGGTGGATGGGGAGGGAGTCCGAGAGGACTTGAGAAAGGGGAAGGAATATGATAAGAATATATATATATATATGTACATATATATATATAGTATAAGATTCTCAAAGAATAAATACATTAAATTTTAAAAAACTGTCCATGACTCAGTGGTTAGCATGGACCAGGCCCTGGGTTAAATCCTAGAAACACACACACACACACACACACACACACACACACACACAGAAGCATATGCACCCCCACAAGATTTGAACAGTTAAGGGAAAATCCCAGGCACTCCCTGAAGTGGGGGGCATGAGGGCAAGTTACTTGCTCTTTGTACCAACTAAAAACAGGACCAGAAAGAACAGGGCTCACCTAAGCTGGAGCAGGTTGTGTTAGAGATCGAGAACTCCCTCTTCTCTAGACTGAAGCATTGGGAAAGTTTCAAAGACAGTTAAGGGTTTTCTTTTCTGGAGATGTGCAGAAAATGTGGAGTCCTGGCATGGATGACATCAAGTAAAGAAACAGACATCCTCCTGTGCAAGCTTGACATTGGAAACTGGGACCAGAGAGCCGAAGGTCAGTGCCTAAGACCCAGTACCTAGACCTGGAGCATCATCCAGATAGCAGAAGCTGTGACTGGGACCACTTCTTCCTCCATGACACAGCAGGAGGGAAGGCTGGGGTGAGACTGGAAGGACCTGAGGATGTCATTTCCCTGCTGCAGCCTAAACCCTTGGGGAGGAAGGTGTGATGGAAACCCCAGCTTTGTCAGGATGATTCAGTCTCTTCTCTTCACTCACCTTCTCGGCCTCAACACTCTGAGCACAGCCATTTCTAGGAAAATGAGCCAAAGGCCGCTTGAGAGATGCCTTCGGATTGCGTACCCAGGAGAGTACTGGGAGTCTTGTCAAGCAGGTTTCCCAAACTTTCTTTCCTCCCAAGGATCGAGTGTCTCCAAGTAGCCAGACACCATTCCGTCTAAGCAGGAAGTTCCCTAACTCTGACCCCAACCTTTCCCTCCTTTTCCTGTTTTATTTACCCTTTGACCCGAATGTAACATAAATATTTAACCTCATTTATTACCTGAAAATTATTAGTGTTTGTCTGTTTAGCAACAATTAATTTAAAAAAAAAAAAAAAAAAAAAAAGATAGGGCCAAACCAACATACTTGAATTTTTCCACTTGAAGTAATCTGTTTTGGTATTTAACTCAGATGGTTGACCTTTATTCCTCTAGCATCCCACAGATCTCCCATCCCTCATGCTTCTGGTCCTTCCTCCTGCATATCTCTTCATTTTCGAAGCCTATTTCAGAATAGGCCGTTTCTCCTCCTGGGAAACACTTCTCTGGTGCCCCGCCCACCTCCTGGTGCCCCGCCCACCTTCTGGTGCCCCGCCCACCTTTTCAGGTTGCACAGCTGCCACCTTCTCTGTGTTTCAAGAGAACTTTGGGGGTATTTGTATTTATCATGGCATAGGTCCCGGGGATCAAACTCAGGTCCTCATGCTTGTGTGGCAGGTGTTTTTACCCGCGGAGCCATCTCACCTGACCCAACGTTTTTGTTTGTTTGTTTGTTTGTTTGTTTGTTTGTTTGTTTTTAAAGAGAAACTTCATCCCCCGAGAGGAGTTAAGACCTCAGACACAGAAGCACGGAGCGAACATCTCACACTCAGACCTAACAGCTGCTGTGGATTCTGGCTGAGGGCAAGAGTTGATGTGTCAGCTAAACCCTGTGCCCGGGAGGCATGTGCAAGGTTGCAGGCTGAGGTTCCCGGGCAGTGACGGGAAGCAGAAGCCGGCGTGTCCCGTCTTTCTGCCTTGGCACACGGTCTGCCTCTCCGGCAGGCGTTGGTTCTAGAACTGTCTGGACGATCCCCTACTGAGCTAGACTGGCTGACCCTGAGGCTAAAAGTAGCCTCTAGCTTAGGACATGGGACCCGACTTATCCTTTTAACACATAACTTAGGACACGGGACCTGACTTATCCTTTTAACACACAAGTCAGACCACATTACTACTTCGTTCTCAATGCTTCTGTGGTCTCCCCCGTCACCAGGATACGATCTAGGGCCTGACTGGATAGACCGAACCACCTACAAGTTCCCTGCACTATGTTCCTACCTGTCCTCCTTGCTTTGCTCAAATATAACAAAAAAAAATAAAATAAAATAAAATTTTTTTAAAAAGCTTTCTCTCACTGGTTTGCTGCTGCAATTCTTTTTCCAAAAGGAATCCACTCCTCTGGGCAAAGGCATGGACCTGCTCCCTCCTGCCATCCAAGTCTCTACTACGATGTTGCCTCTTGAGAGACATCTCCCAGGATCTCTTACCTAAGACAAGCCCAGCCTCCCTCCCTCCCTCACTCCACTCTATCTACCTCCATCCCACTATCTCTAACCTTACATGTTACCTATCTTCTCATCCTTTTGTTTGGCTCTGGCTGCCTTTGCTTGTAGCGTGTCCCCTGACTACAGGAACTATATTTTGTTCACTCTTACACATTAAAGGGCCTGGCACATAGTAAGTAGCCAGGATACAATTTTTGAGGGGAGGATGAATTGAGGACATCTAAGCCCCTCGTGCTCAGGAGGATCCTGGGGCCCAGAGCAGGAAGATCCTGCTCAAGGTGACACTTGGCTGTTGTGGAATATTATTTTAAGTTGTATTACTTTTGTTGGTGCTGCTTTTGTTGAACTCTGTGAAGCTGTGTTACTTTGCCTCTCTAAAAAACACCTGAGGGTCTAATAAAGAACTGACCAATAGCAAGGCAGGATAGTATGTGGAGTGAGTAGAAAATTTCTTAATAAAGAAAAATGAAAAAAAGAAAAGAAGAAGAAACCAGGTCAGGATGACCAGAGGCTAAGAGTGACCAGCCATGGACACAGAAAATGGGACACTTTAAGCTAGTTTGGCGGACCTAACTTAAGCAGGGTTGGAAGATGGAAAAAGTCTTCAATAACGCAAGACAGTAGGGACCGCAGTATAAGTGAGTAAAAGATGGCAAAATGTTAGAATCCTGCAGAGAGAGGAAAATCCTGCAAGGAGGTAGGTTATTCCTTTACGTAAGACCCATTCCCCTCATCCAGCACTTGGATGTTACGTGCCTTCTAGTGTTCTGGTGTTAGGTTAAGGACAAGGGCATGAATAGGTTGACCTGGGAGACATCTCACAAACCTGAAAAGCCTCAGCATGTATCACTAGCCCTCAAAGGACCTCTTTCCAGAATAGGCTTGTCATTCAGTAAGATGCTGAACATGGAGGGCTCCAGCAAAGAGCTCAAACTAAGAAGAACCAAAGACTAGTCACACCAGCTTCGGCTTCTTCTGTCCTCTGTTTCAGGGGCCTGGGTAATCGTCATGCCCAGCGCATTGAATCATGTGGGGCTATCTGAGCCCTCCACGGCCCATCGTATCTATCACCCTGCCCCCTGAAGGAATAAGCAGGACTTCCTTTGTCCCAAGCAAATGTGGGTCATGCTTGGAGATTCCTATCACAGCTCATTCCACAGCCTCTGAATTCAGTCATCAGCAGACCTTTCCCATCATCAGTGTCCTTCTTGGGTCTGACCTTGTTGCATATTTTTAAGTTTATTTCTTTTTTCTTTTTTCTCCGTACTGGTGATTGAATGTGGAGCGTCAGCAGTGCTACTTGGGTTCTTTCAGAATGAGGGGAGGTGTGAAGGAATTGGAGGGAGACTATGATCAGAATATGTTGTATAAAAATAAGTTTATTTTCAGTAAAAAAAAAAATTTGATCTCATTTCATCACCTTGAATAATTTCCTAGATATCTGAGCCCCCTTTAGTATCCTTTAGTAATGAATTCATTTAAAAATGAGGCTGATGATGTGACTCAGTGGCAGACCTCTTTGTTATCATGCCCAAGACCTTGGGTTTCATGTCCAGTACTGCCAATAAATAATTACTCATTCAGCATATCATTCATGGTATCCAGCCCACAAAAATTTATACTTACTTTAGGATGATGTACAAAACAGAAGGTCAGGGAAGAATGGTGGGTCCAGAAACAGACCACGGCTGGGAATCCCAGCTCTGACAGTTGACAATCAAAGGGAAATCCTCTTTGTTATCTCAGGCTTCCCATCTGTAAAATGAGATGAACAGGTCATGTTCTTTCTGTCTTGTTGTTGTGAGGCTCTGTAAAAAATATAAACGAATAGGAGCATTCTGCACTGTAAAATTCCATAGAAACATAAGTCAGATGCAATACAGTGTGGTGGGAAAACACTGAACTCAAAGTGACAGGTTGAGCAGGGGGACCAAGGGCAGACAGAGTCTACCACTTGCTTTCCGTGGGACTTTGAACAAGTCACGTAACTTTAATTTCCTTGTCTATACAACAGGCTTGTTGTGCAAACCGAGATATCACACATAAAAGCATCAATCATTGGCTCCTGGTTCCAAGCAAAGCCTCATCTGTATCCATTCACTGATCTGCATCAGATGAGGGGAGAGCAAAGAAGACCATGAACCAAAAAGCGACTGCATTATCAGGGAGCCTCTTGGTCGGAGCAGGCTTGAAGGGTTTGCCAGGCATCATGAGAAACGAGAGTGGAGAGGCTGGGAAAGAAGAAAGGGGGCATGACAGAGTAAGGAGTCTGGGCTCCAGGGAGGCATTTATGGCTACTAATGATTTCAGAGCCAAAAAATGATACATGAATTGTCCCCTGTGGCTCAGGAGTATGGAAACCTACAGAATGCTTGGATTCTCTGCTCCAGGGACAGAGGTTAACTGGAAGGAATGGACTGTGTGTGATAGAAGGTCAAAGCTTAGTTAGCAACCCCATAGGTAAAGCCAGAGCTCAGCACAAACTCTGTCTAGATTTCTAGATCTTTGCCTTTGTATCAGTCAACTATAGGTACAAAACAAATTGTGTCAATACTTGGCAACTTAAACCAAAAGACAAATATTTATTATCTCAAGAATAGAAATTGGAAAGTGCCCTGGCTGGCTAGTTTGGACTCTGGGTCTCTCACAAAGTTGCATTGAAGGTCCTGGGTACTGCTGCAATATCTGAGGGTCTGACATGGTATACTTACACAATGCATGCTCATATGACTCTGGGAATGATTATAATTGGCTTTTTTTAATCTTCTGGTTCTTTGATCTTTTGGGGGCCCACTACCAAGCTCCCAAATAAATACACAGAGGCTTATTCTTTCTTATGATTGCCTGGCCCTTGCTTGGCTTATTTCTAGCCAGCTTTTCTTAACTTAAGTTATCGCATCTAGCTTTTGCCTCTGGGCTTTTATCTTTATCCTATATACCTTTCTTTACTGCTTACTCCATGGCTTGCTATGCAGCTGGGTGGCTGGCCCCTGGAGTCATCCTCTCCTTGTCTTTTGTCCCTTGTTCCCTCTTCCCAGATTTCTCCTCCTATTTATTTTCTCTGCCTGCCAGCCCTGCCTATTTCCCTCTCCTGCCTCGCTATTGGCTGTTCAGCTCTTCAGTAGACCAATCAGGAGTTTTAGGCAGGCAAGGCTACACAGCTTCACAGAGTTAAGCAAATGCAACATAAAATAATGCAGCACCTCTTGTCCTCATTAAACAAACATTCCACAGCATAAACAAATGTAACACATCTTAAAATAATATTCCACAACAGACGATGATGATGACCAAGAGTTGGGGACCTCAGCTCCTCCTGTGGATCCCCACCATGGTGCATAGTGAGACATGGCACCTTGTGTGCACACAGAGTATTCAACAGATAACAGGAGAAAAACTGCAATGTCCCAGTCTCAAAAGACATACGCTACCACTCTCTCATGCTCTCCCACTCACACTAACTATGGTACAGCTATTGCCTCTGAATTAAACATTCCTTCCGGCAGAGAGAATGGAGAAACACAAGATTCTGGAAGCTCATATAACCTACAAGACTCACAAGCCCACACACACACCCCTGCCAGATTATAAAAAGCAGTAAATAATTGCTAGGGGAGAGGAAACTCTCCAGTAGAGTTCTTCACAAGCTCCACCAGGGCCGTCTTGGAGTCTGGTTACCATGGCAGAGAGACTGTTAGAGCGGAAGGATTACCACTGGTTCAAAGCCAGCCTGGGCTACAGAGTGAGACTTCATTCTCCTCCCAGAATCTCCAGAATGAACAATCCCTCCTGAAATCTTAATTTTAGACTCCTTTCATTTCTGACTTGTAGAACACTAAGAAGATAATTTGTAGTGATTTGTTACAGCTGCAAAAGGAACCTAATACACTCTCAAGGGCTCCTAACTGACACTTGGAGCTTGGGAGAAAGACTGGATGGAGAAAGAAAATATGAAAGCAGGGATGAAGGAAAAGGAGCACCTGAATGAACTGCCTCAGAGACAACCCACCTTCTTGCAAGACCGAGTGACGGCCCTAACTCTCTGGACTCTGGAGCTATCTGGGGGCAAAGAATGACTTCACAATCCAAATGCAGATGAAGACATGAAGCAGAGGGGAGCCGGGGAGTTTGGCGGTTAGTGGCAGGTCTACAGACTTGACAATAAGTAAAACCACGGAACGTGCGTGCGTGTGTGTGTGTGTGTGTGTGTGTGTGTGAGAGAGAGAGAGAGAGAGAGAGAGAGAGAGAGAGAGAGAGAGAGAGCAGAAAAAGACATCTCTGGAAACTGGAGAGGCTGAGAAGAGGGGTGGGGAAGAGGCCTTGCTTCCAAAAGCTTATGAAGAAGATGCTCAGAGTCACCAGGCAGAAAATGTTCCCACATCCCAAGCTCTGCCTCTGGCTGGTTGTGCCTGAGTCGCCATAGCTTTGCATTCTTCCACTTCTCCAGCAAGGCAGGAGAATGTGATGAGAGTGATCTCGAAGCATAAGAATAAAGGAGGAGAGAGCCATACGCGTTTCTAAGAATCTCAGCTTGCTCACTCCCCCAAATGACTCAGTGACAGCTCTCCAGGCCTCAATGTCTCCCTTTGCCAAGCAATGTTGTTATGAGGATCCTATAGGTACATGCGTATCGTATATACTACACCACAGGCATAGAGCAAATAAATGATAAATGTTAGCTGCTTGTATTTCATCTAGAAGGCATTTTCTGAGTGATTACTCTATATAAGGTAATGTAGATGTTAGATAGCTAAGACAGTCTCAGATCTTAATGAGCTTAAGGGCTATCGGAAGACACAAATGGATTTTCCGGGACATCTTTGTCAGGCAGGAAAAACTACAGGGCTCTCTGATCAGTAAACTAAAGGTTACTGCTGAAGCAAGATGTACTTCACCCATGTGGCCACTTTGTGAGTGCTAGCTAGATCTAAGGGAGATAATCAAGAGGAGCCTGGCCTTTCCTTTCCTACACCACAATGCTCCCAGCCATAAGAGAACAATTGTTCTTAACTGATATTAAAATTTCTGCAAAATGGGACCTGAGAGATGGCTCAGCAGGAAAGGACACCTGCCACCAAGCCTGGTAACTTAGGTTTGACCCCTTGGATCCACATGGTAGGAGAGGACCAACTTCAGGAAGCTAGCCTCTAATCTCAGTATAAATACCATGGTACATGTGTACCTATGGTGCCTATGCATATACACACATACATACAAATTAAGAAATAAATATGGTAAGATTGTTAAGATGTCTGCAAAACAATCCCCATAGAAATAGCTGTATGGATGTCTCTTTGTTCTTATTATGAAGAACTCAACCTACGGAATTCTGAAGTTCTTTATTCCAGCCCTCCTCCGCACACTGGCAAATAGCCTTAGGTGTGTGTCTCTGATGTACGATCACAAAAGTGACATGACATTTCTCACTTGCAGGATTACTGTGAAGTTGACAACTATTACAGCGTGTGCTGGTGCCTGGTAAGCTCTCAAGAAAATAGTTATGGGTGCATTCTCCTGCAGAGAGAAGACCTCACACCAGAGGGAAGTTAAGTGACCTTGAAGAACCTCTCTGTTTCTCCCCAACTTTTGTGTCCTATCATCTGACACTACTCTGGAGTGATGATAATGGTGGCAGGTGTGACTGACTGAATAAGTTAGAGGAGCAGTTCCTGGTCCAGGAGAAGTGTATAGATCATCTGATCTATACATGGCAACCTTCAGGCAGCTTCTCAGGGACCCCACTCTGGTTCCCCAAAGACAGTGCTTCCATTTCCAGTTCTTACTGACCTGGAATCAAAGTCTATCTACAGCTCATCTTTGAGTGGGTCAAGAAGGCACATATGCCCCATCCATCAATACAGTCACATGGTTTCCCAGAAGAACAACAGTAACAGAAGCGTCATCTGTGTATGCTCATCCTGCACTGGAGCTGTGCTGAGAGGCGCTCTTAAGGAGTTGGTATCACTATTCTGCCCACTTGCTGGATAAGTAAGTAAACTGAGACTTAGAACAATAAAGTAGCTGTAAGTTTTACGAAGAATCGGGGTCTGAATACAATGATCTCAGTGAAGACCCAGCTCTTCTCTCCAGGCCTTGGAGGCACACTGCCTCGGAAGACTTTGAGACTCCATATCTCGGCAGGTCCACCCAGACTACAGTTGGCCCTGCAGAACCCTGACTCTTCCTTCATTTTTTCAGTCCCTTTTTCATGTTCCCTCAAGGCCTCTGAGTAGCTCCCCTGAATCAGCATTGGGGAGAAGCATGCTTCAAGCAAGCGCTTCCCAGAGTCTCCACACCATCCCTGGGGAAGGGCTTCTGGGAAGAGAACAATAAGCCTTTAAACCTCTCTCAGACCCTCCTGGGTAGGGAATTCAAACAGGACAGAAGAGGGGGGGCCACAGGGAACTGTGTATTTCTCCTCTGCTGAGCCAGTTTAGAGTCCAAAGGACCAGAGCCCAACAACTTACAACTGACCAGAAGCCGTCCCTCCAGCTCTACCAACCAGTTAATGACGAGGGCAAATCAGGAGGCAGGGAGGAGCTCAAACTTCTTTGTGATGGTGCAATTTTCTTTTGCTCTCTTCTCCATTCCCTCCCTTCCTGTCTCTGCTCCTTTCCTTCCTCTTCTAGTTCTGGGCAACATGTTCCCAAAGGAAGGGATGGGTTAACAGAGTGCACTGGGCACATGATCTGTGTGCTGCAGAGACCTTCCCAGAGCGAAAGGGTGGAACTTGCGTCTTCACACACAATCATTGTCCATGTATCAGTACCCTCAAAAAAATGAGAACAAATGGCCTGGACCTTTCTCTGTTGAATGGTAATCTTTAAAAGTCCTGTTTCTCTCCTTGAGCAGAGAATGCATATTCATGTACATAGGCACAAAGAAGACACTGAAAAGTTCCCATTGTCAGTGCTGGAGAGATTTTCAGTGGTAAGGAGAACTTCCTCCTCTTAAAGATGACTGGAATTCAGTTTCCAGTTTCTCTGTTTAAGTGACTCACATCTGTGACTCCAACTTCAGGAGATCTGATGCCCCTTTATAGACTTGATAGGAAAGCATACAGATGTTACAACACACACACACACACACACACACACACACACACACACACACACACACACACACAAATAAAAATAAATCCTAAAAATAAAATGTCATCCATTATCTTAACAATTATCACATACTATGGGTATTAGGTGAGAATTAAACTCTTGTTATTTCCAAAGGCTATATCTCAAGGTCTTTGCGAACACCCACATTTGAGGACATGGATAAAACCAGAGACAATCCCAAGAATATTTGCAAAGAGTTTTGTTGTTGTTTGTTTGTTTGTTTGTTTGTTTGTTTTGTTTTGTTGATGCAGATTTTATACTATAGCTCAAGCTGGCCTGAGACTCACTATGTGGCCCAAACAGGCCTCAAACAGCATACGTCAGCCTTCCTCCCAAGCAGAACTACAGGTGTGAGCCATGCCCAGGTTTATAAAGAGATTCTTGACCCTAAATCTAATCTCCATCAGCATAGGCTTAAGGGAAGGATGGCCAAAGTGAGACCAAGGGATGGGTGAGGTGCCATCCACATCAGAGAAGAAGACGCGGAGACAAGGGTCCTATAGGGCTTTGTTATAGCCTTATCTGAAGAGGGGTTAAAGATGTGACAGACAAGAGAATGCTTTGAAGGGTCAGCAGAGGACTGACCGAGTTGGGTTGGCCAAAAGAGGGAGGCACGGAGAAGCCAACAGAAAGCCTGCCTCTCTAGGTGAGCCCTCCCGCTTGACCACGCCCATGGGCTGGGACAGCTTCTCTTTGGTCCCCTCAGCCTTTGCCTGGAGTAGTGTGTTCTTAGAATAAGAGCTGAAATCCACAAGTCCCCAGACAAGTTAGCCAAGAAAGAGGAGAGGACACTTGCCTGGGCAGTGCAGGAACATTTGGTTCTGTAGTAGGAGTCCTAGCATGCAAACAGGAAGAGCTCACTATAATTGGAAACCCGTAGCCAGCCTGCCTCCTCCTCTTTGTCCCTCAGCCGACACCACTTAATTCTGGTCAAGACCTCTGGCCACTGGCATCAAAACACCAGAGGATGTGTCTTGAACAGAAAGATATGGGTGCCACCATTCCAGGCCAGGCCAAGAGCTCTGAGCAACTGTTAGACTCCAAAGAGACACGTAATGCCAGTCCCTTTCCCTGTTCTCCAGGACTCGGTCAGTAGCCAAATGTCTTTCTTCCCCTCCTCTCTGCATGACCCAGAGCGAGCCATGCTCCACTCTGTTAAGTCTTCCATCTCTCCTGCCCTGGACTGACTCAAGCCCTGCCAGACTTCAAAGCCCAAAACCTTTGCTTGCCGCAGTCCCGGGGCGTTGGTGGAGTCCCCTCTTGAACTGGAGTTGGAGTGCCGAAGGCACGACTTACTTTTCCCTGATGATGCTTAAGTTCTTGTGGCTCTTTCCTCGTATTCTATCTCCAAGAGGAGAAAGGGTGTGATGAGAGCCGTCTGGAAGCCTAAGAAGAAGTGGGGGAGGGGCAGCGAGGGAGTCACACACTTCTCTAAGACTTTCGCCTTGTTCGTTTTTCCAATGGCCTAGTGGGGAATTTAATTAAGAGCCATCAGTCAAATTTTGGATGGATGTTGGAATTCTCCAACAATCCTCCGGGACTTGAGGAGGGTTTGGAAATACAAAGTCAGTAATTATATAATCATTCAAAATAGAAAAACTAGAAACACGAAAATGACCTCTAACTCCGTCTTGGCTTCCTGTCATTGGCACGGATGAGCAACTGACACACCCTTCCCATCTGCCTCGGTATCTTGCTTCCCAAGTTCAAGTGTGTGTACATCTCATCTCCACGGAAACCAGAAGATGCCCGGACTCCAGGAAGATGTGCCAGAGTCAACAAACAAATTATAGGATACCCAGTTTGGTTTGAAGTTTGAGAAAAACAACAAATAATTTTTATGTAAGTATGTCGCAAATACTGAATGAGACAGGTGTATACTAAAATCTGTTGTTTGTCTAGGTCTCAAATTTAGCGAGGCATCCTAAGTTATATCTGGCTCTCCTATGCCTAAAGCATCTAGCTCTAGGCACCTTACAAAGGTCCATCTCACTTAGACCCACAAAGATGGACGCTTTCCTCATGAACATAACCTTGAGCTGGTGAATCTTCCCTGTTTCCAGCATCATCTGAAATTTACCCCAGCTATGGATCTAAGGAACAAAGGACTCTTTTCAGATCTCCAACCATCTGCCTGGCTGCAAATCTCACTCAGGAATGTGGTCCATGACTCAAAGGATAAAGAAGAAGAGATGCTCCAACCCACAAAATGTCAATGGCCTTTGGCATCCCAAATGGTTATTATCTTACCCATTCTAAATTCTTCCTTTGCTGCAGTCCTAGGAGAGGAAGTTTGGGTTAAGGAAGGGATGACACTCTTGGCTCATCTCAGAAGTTTAATTCCCAGGTGCTAGAAAAGAAAATCAAAGAAAAGTTGTTTTTTTTTTTTTCTGGTTTCTAGGATGTAGCATGCTTTTTTGTCAGCAGCCAGCTCACAAATAATGACTTGGAGACTTCTTATTATAAAAGCTTGGCCATTAGCTTAGGCTAGTCCCACCAGCTCTTATAACTTAAATTAACCTGCTTATACTAATCTATGTTCTACCATGTGGCTCAGCTGCCTCTACTCTGTACCATATATCCAAGCTCTTCAGTGTCTCCCTGGCAGCTCCTTTGTGCCTTCCCTCTCTGTTCCTCTCTTTCCCAGGAAGTCCCGCCTATTCTCTCCTGCCTGGCTGTTGGCCATTCAGCTCTTTATTAAACCAATCAGAAAGCTCCTCAGGCACAGACACATCTTTACAGTGTAAACAAGTATTCGGTAACACTAAGGTAACAGCACAAAGATGTTCTGGACAGTTCAGTTCATTCCCAGAAGAGTGCTCTGTGCCTGTTACAAATGGCCCCCTGCCCTGCACTCCGTAGAAACTGATGGTACCCATGGAAGAATGGTCTCAGAATATCTTAAAACTCAATCCCTGCAGACAACCCGGAGTACTGTGTTGTGTCCCCTTTAAATTGGTGAGCTCTCTTGCCTAGCAGAGAGGAGGAAGAAAGATCTCCCAACTCCCTGAAAGGACTCCTCCAGGCTCTTCCCTGATTGGGCATGTGTGAACGAGACTCTTACATGTTTTTTGAAACATTCTGAAATGAACTGTACCCAGAACTCAGGTGTCTTTGACAGCTTGGCAGTGAGCCTTTGGAAGGTCAGGGGAGGATGCATTTCCCCCAAGTCTCCAAGCTGACTTGTCTTCATGATTCACCCTTACAGCCAGCCTTCCTGACTTCAGTTTCAAGGTGGACAGAATGAATTCACTTAGCCTTCTAGGTATTGTGGGGGAATACCAAAGAGACAATGCCTGTGAAAGTCTCATGACTTCTCCAAAGGATACAATAAGGACCCAAAACATTGGTGTCTCACATGAAAGATACAGCTTAAAACTTTCAAGTCAGATTGAGAACACAGGTAGAGCACTTTTCTGGTGTGGCCAAGGCTGTGGGCTCCATCCCAAGCACCACAAGAATCCAAAAGAGAGGCTGGAGATATAGCTCAGTGATAAAGTCCGTGTTGGCTTAAGGGTAGGGCTCTTGCCTAGTATGCATGAGGCCCTCAGTTCAATGCCCAGCACTGAAAAAAATAAAATGAAATAAAATCAGGTTTGTAGATCTCCAGGGCTTCTCCACTGAAAAACTCAGTCTTTAGAGGCAGGGAAAAGAATGATCTTAGCCTTCTTAGAACCCAAGCAATTTAAAGAAAATAGATGGAGCTAGAAGGCTCCCTGAAAAAGAAAAGGAGAAAGAAGTGTTCAAACTGCTATGTGGGGAGCAGTGTTTGACATCCGAGGAGATCCCTATAAATGACACTTGTCTATCGCAAAAACTAATAGGGAGACAAAAACTTTACGTGTGGTGCCTTGAGGGTGGGCATCCTGCGACAACACAAAATCCCAACATTCATCAATGAGGGAAAGAAGACTTGGGGATAACCAGGCACCACTCAGAATCAGAAGGTCTAGGAAGATGTTTGAATAACGTCTCTTTGGGTGACAAAGAACAGAGAGCCAGCTAGTTCACGGAATACACTGAGAGGGGAAACCAAGCTCCTGTCCATGACGAACTAGAACTTCAGCTCGGAACCCCCTACCCACATGCTGTTGTGTATGCTGAGAGTCTGAGGTGTATTCTCCTGCTTTGTAACCCCTCCAAGCCTGCTCAGCAAGCTGAATTCTTCCTGTTTCACAGGTTAAGGGGGAAAAAAACTGAAGTTCCAAATGGTATGAAGGTCACTTGGTTGGTGGGGACACTCCGGCCCAGCTCTGGCCTCGAGTATCTCCTACACAGTGGCAAAAGTCAGCCACTGAACAAGGTTCTTCCTCCACAGACAGAGTCAAATGTGGTCTTAAAGGACAATCTACTCTGCTAGTCACTCTAATGAGGGAGGGATAGGAAGGAAGAGTGTCAGGAAATGGAAAAGTGCGAGAGTGAAGAAGAAATGTCACCAGTCTGAGAACAGTAGGCAGAGACCGAGGGTGGTGCAGAAAGACAGAATCCAAGGCCATAGAAAAGCATTCACTTTAAAGGATCGATTTCTGTCCCCTTTGTTCCAGTACCAGAAATACCTATTTTAATATATACATTATTATTATATAATATATATTAAATATAAATGTGTGTGTGTGTGTGTGTGTGTGTGTGTGTGTGTGTGTGTGTGTGTAGCTGTTCCAGCAACAGACAGAACAAGAACCCTTAGTTCAAGGCCTTTCCAGAGCCAGGTGAAATGTCTTCTAGTCTCTCCATGCCCCCAACATTTCTATTACCAAAGAAGAGGGGCAGAAGTCCAGACACACCACACAGACGACCTGGAAACCCAAGTTTCACTTGAACTTCAGGAAAGTCCATGTCAAGCATGATGGAGCTGATGGCAGGACCACTGTGAACTCAGCACAGTCATATTCAAAGACAGGGACAGCAACCGAGATCAGAATCAGACCCTGAAGAGAAGTCACAAAGAAGAGCAGAAAAAGAAATGCCCGCACGCAGTCTAGAGGCCTAGATACACACACAGGGAGAAAAGGAGACCAGAGAGAGAAAGGAAGGCCGCCTTGTTTGTTCTCATGAAGGACATCTGGATTTCTCAGTGAGATCCTGACTTGGGTCTCTTCCCTATTTTCCAGCTGGACCCAACCATGCAGCTCCTGGCCAGAGGGGCCATGAGTCAGCCGCAGATTGGAGCTCAGTCCCTCTGCCCCTGTGCTCTGCTCTCTGCCAGACCACACAACCTCCCTCCCCACCCTGCCAAGCTGACTTAGCTCCTCATCCAGGTAACACACTTCAAAGGCACCAGGGTAAGCTGGAACAGTCTGGGCCAGCCTCGGGACAAGAACTGATTCCAAAAGGCTCTGGCCCAAACATCCCTCATCAATTTTCCTGAATGTCTTTCTCCACTTGCCTCACTTCCCTCACACTGTGAATAACCCCTGGAAGTCAGGAGTGGAAAACCTAATTTTTCATGAGAGCCGTCAGGCTTCTCTTCTGTGCTGCCGCTCTGAGTGGCTTTATTATCATGAGGTTGACCAGATGTCAGCCAACATCAAAGCACAACCCTACAACAACAGTTTATACCTTTTTCTCTGGAGTTGGTCGTATTTTCTAGGACAGTCAGAAGACCAGGCGAGGGGCCTAAGTGACCAAAGAAATAGGATATCAGTCAGGTTGTCACGAGAAGCTCACAAATGGCTCTTACAGCCAATAGACCACCTCCTTGAATCTCTCTTAGAGGATGCTGCTTTGTGTCCATTCTTCCATAGAAAAGTGTAGTGTCTTGCAGCCAGGTACCACATTCACTTATGTGTCCCTAGTAACACAAAGTAGAGCAAGGTGCCTGGTGCCAGAGTGAACTCGGCAAGTATCTGCTTACTTGAGTTTGTTTGCTGGTGGCTTCCTGGGACTTTTATGTAACTATAGAACTGGAGAATCATGAAAAATAACTCAATGTAGCTTCCTCATCTACATTCTTCCCTCATCTTTGTCTGTGTTTGTGTTTTGTTTTAGTCTGCTTTGTAATGGAGACAGTCTTTCTTCCATGTCAGACCTATTGTTTTACCAGTGGTCAACTTGAGAATGAAAATGAAGTTGCCCTACTTATCCTTGTGAAGGGCAGAACTCTAAGATAACCCCTGATGGCTGAAGCTCTTGTACAAATCCTTCCCCCTGAGTGCTGGTGGGACCTTTAGGATGGGATGCTCCTAACCACTAGATGATGGCAAGACATAGGACATGGCTTCTGAGCTCAGGCTACCTTACAGGGCAAAGGTGGTAGGATTTGCAAACATAATGCAAATACCTAAGCAGTTGACTTTTGAATACTCAAATGGGGAGACAGGTACTTGAGAAATTTTTTTTATGACAAACAAAAGTAGGTAGGAAGATGAAGAAACATAATCAAAAGAACTCCAATATAACTCAATAACAAAAAGACAAGTAACCCAATTTTAAAAGGACAATGGAGCTAAGTAGACTTCTTTCCAAAGAATGACCAATAAATACATGAGAATATTCTTAGATAAACACAAATCAAAATTGCAGTAAGATTCTGTGCCATACCCAATAAAGCAATTATAATAAAAAAAAATAAGACAATGTGTTGTCAAACACGGAAAATTGGAGTCCTGGTATATGTTGCTCCAGGAAATATACAAAGGTGCTGCTGCTGGCCGCAAACCAGTCCATACCAGTCTGACAACTCCTCAGAGAGTGAAACGCAGAGCTAGATATCATATGAACCAGCCATAGGAATGTCACTCAAGAAAATGAGAAGACATATCTGTACAAAACTTGGTATATAAATGTCGGTAGCAGCATGACTCTCTCACAGATTTTTAAAGTTTCTTTACTTTATGCATATGAGTGTTTTGCCAGAATGTATGTATATGTACCATGTGCATTCCTGATGCCAGTGGAGGCCAGAGGAGGGCACCAGTCCCCCAGTACTGGAATTACAGATGGTTGTAAACCACCGTGTGGGTGCTGGAAACTGAACCCAGGTCTTCTGCTCTTAACTACTGAGCTATCTCTTCTGCTCCATAGCAGCATGATTCTTAAAAGCCAAAAAAAAGGCCACATTTCTACCAGCTGATTAATGGATAAACAAAATGTGATATTTACATACAATGGGGAAATCATTCCACCATAAAAAGAGATGAGGTCTCATTCAGTTGCCCTGGCTGAACTTGAATTCACTCTGTAACCCAAGTATGTCTTGAACTAGAAGTTCCCCTGTTCTCAGCTTCTGAAGTAACTAGAATTATAGGCCTACACTGCCAGACTTAGTTGTTTGAGTGTATTTGTTAAGGTGTAAGACTGGAGATTGTCCATAGACATAATATTGTCCCTGAAGCTGAAAAGCCACATGCTCA